ACCCGGGTCAATGCGCAGGATCTTGCAAGATCCTGCACCCAAGCCCGGGTCAATGCGACCCTGACCCTGCAGGATTCTGCAGGATCGGGCGCTCTGGCTGACCCCCGTTTGCATTGACCCCCGTCTCAAGGCTCCCGAAGAACTAAGGATTATGACTCATCCGCGCGTGCACGGCCACGCCCGTCGCCTCGACGCCGCGCACTGACACCCAAGGCCTGGACGGCAATCGAGCCAGTCCGGCATGCAGCTGCATGTGCCCTGCTTCTGCAAATTCGCACCTCGGCGCATCTTAGTGCTCCCGGGACACGTGACTTCGGCACCAGTCATTAAGCTTCCAGCCAAAGGAGAACTCCCAGTTCCAATCACCCTGCAGTCAGCAGGGAACGTGAGGATGTCGCTCATCCTCGTCTGCCACAGGGCGCATATTCGATGAGATTCTCGAGCGAGAGCCATGTGAGGACGCACACTGTGTCGCGTTTGAATCAGCAGCGGGCATAGCCGCTTCACAATTCCTCCTGCTGCAGACCATGCGACGTGACGCCACCAGAATCCCATAACCTGAGCCAGGGAACATTGAACCCGCAGAAAGGCCCTCAACAGCATCTGGATGTGATGCAGCGCTGAGTCTGAGAACGCCATGACTGTCGGATGCCTAGGTTGTGCAATCTAGTGAGCAGGAGTCCCCCAACATGCGCCGTCGACGCAGTGTCACCAAAGTCAGGATCATGGAAGAACTCGCAGCTTCAATCAGCCTGCAATAGGCAACGAAAATTTGAGATTCTGACTCGTCCTTGTGTACCAACCAAGTACGACGCTTCGAAACCACACCCTGCCAGGCGGAGCCATGAGGGCAATCGCGCCAGTCCGAAAGAAAACTGCACAACTCCTGCTGCAGCACCTTCGCGTCTCGCCGCACCCTGGGGCCAGGATGGCTCAAGATAGGATGAGATGCGAAAGTGGCGAAAAGCGTCCAGGCCGCCTACCGCAACAAAAATTACAGTCAACACAGATAGTAAGGATGCGCGACAAGGATGCAAGGGCCGTGGACGCCCATTTCAAAGCGTTGCGAGCGGGGCGCGGCCAACGAAAGTGTCCAAGAATGGACCGAGGAGGCAAGGATGCAAGGGTACCCTTGGGAACGTTGCCCATCCTTACTATGCTGGTTGACTTCAAGGGAAACCTGGAGGTCCTCCTCCTCCTCGGCCAAGATGGCGCAAGAGGGCTCAAGGACTGCCCCGGAGGACCCCCAAGACTTGAGCAGGGACCGACCGTCCCGGCACTCCTATGGGCTTACCACGAAATATCTTTAGAACCCCAAGATGTTCTAAGAACAAGACCGTGTTCTTAGAAAATAGACCCGATGTGCTAAAACAGAAGTCCCGGCCAGAAATGTTCCAACTTTCGCGCAGACCACCAAAGGTTCTCAAAACATTCTCTGGTAGGCCTATCGGCGAGCAGGGACGCTTCGCCACTGCTTAACCTCCTTTGGAGTCCCGAAACTTTGCGGTGACGGACCGTGCAGTGACCTCGACATCCCCCGAGACCTCACCGCACGGTCCGTCACCGTACGGTCTTGGGACCCCGGAGGCCCCTGTCGCCCGAGACGGCCTCGGAGAACGACCCGAGTCCCAAAACCGTGCGGTGACCCCGAATCCCCACCGACTCACCGCACGGTGTGGTCACCGCACCGTTTGGTGGCCCCCGAGTTACAGTCAACCCGCATGGTAAGGACGGGCAACCTTCCCAGGGGTCCCCCTTGCATCCTTGCCTCCTTGGCCACTCTCGTTGGGCGCTCCCCGCCCGAAAAGCTTCGACATAGGCTCCCAAGGCCCTTGCATCCTTGTCGCGCATCCTTACTATGAGGGTCACCGCACGGTGAGGTCACCACCCCGTTTGGGGGCCCCCGAATGGCGCACGAGGGGCCCAAAGACTGCCCGGAGGACCCCCAAGACGGCCCACGCCCTCGCGCCGCCCCCATATAGAGAGCCGGCCAGCTCCGCGGGACCGGCCGGACGCGCGACGTGCGCTGATCTTCGCCATCCTAGGGGTGACCTAGACTCACGGGGGGGGAGGGAGAGGAGGAGGAGGAGGAGGAGGAGGAGGAGGAGGAGGAGGAGGAGAGGAGGAGGAGGAGGAAGGAGGAGGGGGAGGAGGAGGAGGAGGAGGAGGAGGAGGAGGAGGAGGAGGAGGAGGAGCAGGAGTAGGAGGAGAGGAGGAGGACGAGGAAGAGAGGAGGAGGAGGAGAGGAGGAGGAGGAGGAGGAGGAGGAGGAGGAGGAGGAGGAGGAGGAGGAGGAGGAGGAGGAGGAGGAGGAGCAGGAGCAGGAGGAGGAGAAGAAGGAGGAGGAGCAGGAAGAGGAGCAGCAGGAGGAGGAGGAGGAGGAGGAGGAGGAGGAGGAGGAGGAGGAGGAGGAGGAGGAAGAGATGGAGCAGGCAGGAGGAGGAGGAAGAGGAGAAGGAGGAAGAGGGGGAGGATGAGGAGCAGGAGGAGGAGGAGGAGCAGGAGGAGGAGGAGCAGGAGGAGGGGGGGGCTCTCGACCCCAATTCCTGCCTCTGTGGAATATCGACTTGGGCAAAACAGCTGGGGTCCAAGTCGGGGATGTGCGAGGGGGGTAGTCCATCCTCGATGCAAGGGGTGCGCCCGAAGGGCCCCGCGGGAATGGGGCCAGCCAGAAGGTACCAATAATCACCGCTACTCCCCGAACCCCTCCCTGGGTGCGTTAGGATCGAATTTCGAAGAGAATCCAGCGGTGGCGGCGAGGGCCTCCCAGGAGGCCCAAGAAGGGGGAAACGAGGCACGGGGTGGCAATATGTCCCCCTCCTGCCTCCTGCCTCCTACTTCCTGCCTCCTGTCTCATCTTCCGTCTCTTCCTCCTCCCTGCGGGGGCTGCGAACTGCGCAGCTGTCGCCACCTTCGTGGGCTCCTGGGATGCCCAGCGGAGTGGAGTTGTAAACGCACTAAGCCGAGACCTCGCGGCTCCCCCCGGGGGGGCTGCGAAGTGTGAAGCTGTCGCCACTTTCTTTGGTGTGTTCCTGGGAGGCTCAGCGGAGTGGAGTTGCAAACACACCCAGCCGAGACCTCGCGGCTCCCTGAGTGGGCTGCGAACTGAGCAATCGTCGCCACTTTCGTGGGCTCCTCGGACCTTGGAGGCTCAGCGGAGTGGAGTTGTAAAAACACCCAGTCGAGACCTCGCTGTCCCCTATGAGGGGCTGCGAACTGCGCAGCTGTCGCCACTTCGTGGGCTCCTGGGAGGCCCAGCGGAGTGGAGTTGCAAACACACCCAGCCGAGACCTCGCGGCTCCCTGAGGGGGCTGCGAACTGCGCAACCGCCACTTTCGTGGGCTCTTGGGGGGCTCAGCGAAGTGGAATTGTAAACACTCAGCCGAGACCTCGCGGCTCCCTGGAGGGCTACGAACTGAGCAATCGTTTCCACTTGTGTGGGTTACTGCGGGTCCTTGAACATGCTCGTTTGCATTGACCGGTCCAGTGTATCGTCGCCACATGTGTAGAAGGGTTGGGTACGTCGCAGGGTAATTGCTTTTTGGGGTGGTGGGGAGCTTGTGGACCCAGGTCGGCGGCGAGCGAGGGGGGGGAGTGAGAAGGAGAGGGCCTTCTCAGAAGGCGGCGGGACTTCTCCGAAGCCCTCGCGCCGTGTGGGAAGTTGTTGTTTGTCTTCGGGGGCTGAGAACACTCCTTCTCAGAAGGCCCAGGGACTTCCGAGCCTTTTGAGGAGGCCCGCCCCCTCCCACTTCCCCCCCCCAAAGGCTCGCCGCCGACCAGCGGCGAGTAACAACCTGCGGCAGACGACGGAGGACATCGAGGATCGCATGCCCTGGATCCCGCGGGGCCTCTCCTAGATCCACCCTGGAAGCCCGAGCATCACCACCATCACCGAGATCGGGATGATTAGAGGAAGAAGAAACTGCACAACCATAAGCTTTTGGCGCTCCGCGCGGATTTCTTGGATCTGAGCTGGACCCCCCCTCCCTGGCGCGCGGAGCGCGGCAGGGGCGGCGCCAGAGGCGCCGCTGGGGGGGGGGGCCCAGCGCGGATCCCAGACATCTGTGCGGAGCGCCAAACGTTCGTGTCTACGGCGCCTTTCCCTCTTCGATTGGAAGGAAGCACACCGCCGACTTTGGTGCTGGTGCCAACCTTTGGGCCTCCGATGGCATGCCCTGGGCCCCGCGGGGCCTTTCCTGGTCCCACGGCCTCCGAGCCCTTCGGCGGCCGACGGCAGCGCCGCACGCCGCGCGCCGTTTCTCTCGCCTCTCTCGCCGGCGGTCGTGCCGCAGGCGCCGGAGGCGTACTGGGTCACCGAAGCCACTCCCGTCGGGGGCGTCCAATAGGGGGGGCGTCAGGAGGGAGGAGGAGGAGGAGGAGGAGGAGGAGGAGAGGAGGAGGAGGAGCAGGAGGAGAAGGAGGAGGAGGAGGAGGAGGAGGGGGGGGAGGAGGAGGAGGAGGAGGAGGAGGAGGAGGAAGAGGAGGAGGAGGAGGGAGGAGGAGGAGGAGGAGGAGGAGGAGGAGGAGGAGGCGGAGGAGGAGGAGGAGGAGAGGAGCAGGAGGAGGAGGAGGAGGAGGAGGAGGAGGAGGAAGAGGAGGAGGAGGAGGAGGAGGGGGCGCAAGACATGGCCGGCGGCGTTTTGCGCGGCCCTGGGGCGGGGTCAGGGGGGCGTGTTGGAGTGCGAAGAGGGGCCATGAAATCGTGGGCAAACCGTGGCCCCCGCCACGCTATCCGCCCCCTCCTAGGCATCAGCCCCCGATGTGCCCAAGACTTCACCATGGCATGGCATCAGCCCCGATCTGCCTAAGATCTCACGGCCAATGAGACCCCCCATCTGCCCAAGATCTTCATGGCCCCCCCCCCTCTCCTGTTCGCCCCTCCAGCCGAATACGAAGAGGGGCCATGAAATCTTGGGCAAAGCGGGGAGCTGGCCTCCGCCCCCTCCTGGTCATCAGCCCCCTCTTGGCCGCCCCCGACACTCCTGCCGCCGACGAACCGCTCAGAAGAGCCGGAACTGCTTGCGGGCGGTGCCGAAGATCTGGTTCTTCTCCACCTCTGCACGGCGCCGCTTGCTGCGGGGGGGGGGGCAGTGGCACGTGTGTCTGCCGAGCTGAGGCTTGAGCCTCGAGGGAAGCATGAAAGAGGGCTTGTGTTGCTCTGAGTCTCTGTTTCTGCTGCTTGGCGCCTTAGAATCGACGCCTTGGTCGGCAGCGTGACGGAACACCATTGAGCTGCTTGGGTCACGGATCTGTTGAGGGCAGCGCTGGGACGATGAGCTGAGTCAGTCAGGCATAATTTCAGCATCGCGCACCCTTCCGAACCCAGCAACATCGTGTAAGTACGCGACAATGCCCACCCCGAGTCCCCACACATGCCAGATCACCTGTGAGCAACATGTAGACTCAGTAAGCGGGAGGCTCGTGTAGACCTTGCAGAGCCCCAGCCAGCGCGTGCTTTCGGCAAACTCTGCAGATTCAGCAAGCAAGAAGCTCGTGTAGATCTTGCAGAGCTCCAGCCTGTGCTTATTTTCGGTAAACTGTCTATCTACATACAGGGAGAGCGGGAGAAAGAGAGAGAGAGAGAGAGCAGACATACACTTATATATGTATACATCTCCTGAGTGAGAGAGAGCGAGATAACAAACAAACACAAGAGAAAGAGAAGGAGAGAGAGAGAGAGGGAGAGAGAGAGAGAGAGAGAGCGAGAGAGAGAGAGAGAAATAAAGAAAGAGAAAGAGAGGGATAATGAGAGATAGAGAGAGAGAGCGAAAGGAGGGACGGAGAGGGGCCGACATACAGGATGGCATGTACATCAATACGCTCACGTCGTTCTCTAGATCCATCGCGCTCGCTTCTCGCGCGCTCGAGTTCTGCCTGTCCTTGGAACCTCGCGTGCGGAACGAAGGACCGTGTCCGAGCACTCGGGAAGCATTGGCTTCGAAGGCAACGCGGTCGATGCTGAAGGTATCTGTGTGAATGTTCCTCGTCGCTGATGTCTCCCCCAACCACCGCCGTCTCCACGAGGAATGGAAACGGGAGACGAAAGCAGGAGCGAGGTATGAGTATATGATATGAGCAAGAGATGGACATGAGACAGAAATTGGTAAAGGGGACTGAGCGTGGGAAAGGAGGGTGAGGATGGAGACGATGACGATGAAGATCATGAGGAGAAGGAGGAGGAGGAGGAGCAGGGGGAGGAGGAGGAGGAGGAGAAAGGACAGGAAGGACGAGGATGGAGGGACTATAAGTGATGAGTAATGGGGGGCAGGTGGGGGAGGGCGGAGGGAGGAGGACGGGGTCTCTCTCTCTCTCTGTCTAACTGTCTCTCCCTCTCTCTCTTCATTCGTGATTTTTCGTTTTTTAAGTGCTATATCCTTGTTTCCCTATCTCTCTACATGCATTTATATACATATCGCTCTCCCTCTCTCTCTCTCTCCCTAGCCGTACTCCTCTCTCTATATATACATCTGTATAGTTATATATATGAAGACGGGAAAAGAGAGAGAGAGAGAGAGAGAGCGAGAGAGAGAGAAACAAAAATAGGGAGAAACACCAAACAAACACTCTCTCACTCTCCTTCTCAGTCTCTCTGTCTCTCTCCTGTGCACCTTGTGGCAGCCTCATTCTGTGTTACACCTCCTTCGTGAGATTCGGAAATGGGGAGAGTGGGAGAGTTGAGAGAAGCGGGAGGAAGTAAAGCGTCAGGGAGGGAATGACGTTCTCATGCGACCATATTAGGGCTATCTTTGAACCCCGCTGGCCCGTTTGGGGGTCATCGTGGGGCCCTCTTGAGCGCTTTCAGGCTCTCGCGGGGTCATCTTGAAGCCTCAGGGAGCACCTCGGGGCGCTCGTGGGCCACCTTGTTGCTTGGGTCAATCTTGAGCAGTCCTGGAGCCTCCTTGGGCTCCACTAGAGGTCCTCTTGGGGCACTTCTGGGCCACCTCAAGGCCCCATAGGGGGCTCTCGGGGGTATTCTTAGATGCCCTGTGGCTTGGGGTCCTCTCTTTGAGCCACCCGGAGCTGGAACAGTGAGACTCCGCAGAAGCACAAAGAAACGGTCCGTACCCATCTGGCGTTTCACCGACGTTGGACGTCTTGGGGGGGGGGCAATCTTGAGCCCGCCTGGGCCTCCCGTTTTTTTCTCGGCGCCCTCGCAGCAGCGGTGCGACCTCCAGCGGGGCGCGAGGCCGCGAGAAACCGCTGCGGAACACGGGTCCGAGCCCCGAAAATCTCGGCGCGTCGGGCACAAACTGGCCCTGCGGCAGGAGGAAGAGCGCGCGGCTGCTCGGCTCTGCCGCCCACGGCCCCCCGTCCCGCTGCACGCACACACACAGACGCACACACAGACACAGACACACACACAGACACACACAGACAGACACACACACAGACACATACAGACACACACACACAGACACAGACACACACAGACACACACACACAAACACACACACAGGCACACACAGGCACACACAAGCACACACAGGCACACACAGAGACACCCACAGACACACACACACATACACACCAGGGCTGGACCTAAACGTTGTTTTCCGTTTTGTCTTCGCTTTGTTGTTCGTTTTGCCCCACCTGTTTTCCTGCACCTCCCTGCCAAAAAAAAAAAAAAACAAGACACAGCCGAAGTCCAGCAACAACTTTGAGGTCCTGCCCTGACACACACAAGCACACACACACACGCACACACGCGCGTGCGCCTTCGTTCTGCCCTGCTCGGCGGTTCCGAGACGGGGCCCGGAGGAATGGGGCCTCGAGGGAGACAACCTCACACAGTGAAGGTTCGATATGTGATCCCCTTCCTGTCCTTCCTGCCCCATCCATCAGGGACATCTTGGAATCGACGGCCTCCCCTCTCTGGAGGGAGAGAAATCGATAACCATGAGCATAACGAAGACCGAATGCGGAAACGTCGGTGTGGATCTAGTCATCGCCCCATCTGGGTCATCGTCAACTCGTGGATCGTCCTCACGAATCGGCGACGGCCGGCATAGACCATGACCAAAATCGGCGCCGACATTAGCCCGCGCCTCTTAGTCATGGTCACCGCCTTTCCTCCCCCAGCCTGGCCCACACTCGTACCATTCGCATCCGTGGATCCGGAGAGTGGGCGCCAGATCCGCAGACCTGGGGAGGCATGCCCCCGAAACACAAGGTCGGTGCCGCCTGCTCCGGCGACGAGGCACGCGATGCCGCTGCACCGAAGCGGGGGGCCCGTCGCCAATCCGCTTGCATGTCTGCATGTTTGCGCCTCCTCGACTCGGGGCCCCATCTTTGAACCGCCCTCCCCCCCCCTTCTCCTCCACTCCCGTTACCGGCAGCACCGTGGGCCTGCATCCAAACGACGCGCCGCAGCCTCGCTGCAAAGCCCAGCGAGCAGCAGGACAGGAGGCCTGAACCTTCCCTGTTTGAGGTTCTCGTCCTCGGGGCCCCCTCCCTCAGGGCCCCATCTTTGAACGGACGACCTACGCCCCCTCTGCTCCACTCCCGTCGCCGGCAGGAGCACGGGCCTGCGTCTAAACGACGCGCCGCAGCAAGGCTGCAGAGCCCAGCGAGCAGCGGGCGGTGGCAGGCGGGCGGAAGGCCCAAGGGCGGAGGCAGCGGCGGCGAAGAGCGCGGCAGAGCTTGACGACATCCGGGGGCGCAGAGAGGAGACAACGCTGCAGCGCTGCGCTTCCTCCCGGTGGACAACACGAGCATGCCGCCTCGGGCGCAGGGAGAAGGCATCGCCGCGCCCCCGCGCAAACCGCAGCCACTCTCGAGGCTGAGGCCTGGCTGGAACACGACGCCCCCTCTTCCCCCCCCCCCGCAATGGAACTGTGCAGTCGATTGCCGCCAGTCTTACGCCCAGGTGCCCGCCCGTCGGAAGAAGTAGGTAGAAACATGAAGTAGAAAGGCGGATCCAGTAGATTGGGTTCGAGCCCGCCCGGATAATAACAACCAACAACACAAGCGCATCTCGATTCTTCAGGTAGGAAGGCGCCTGAAGCAGACTAGGATCTGGGAGCCCAAGACTACTTGGCGGGATGCAAATGGGGGGATAAGTCCAGATGGGGAGAGAGGCGCAACCGAGGTACAAATTGTACCTACGCCCCACGGAGAAGGTACAATTTGTACCGACGCCACGCAGACAAGGTACAAATTGTACTTTTGACCACGTCCGCGACATGTGCGAGGATGTTAACGGGGGGGGAGAGGGTACAATTTGTACTTGCAACCCGCAGAGAAGGTACAACTTGTACCCCAACAAGACGGTACCGGATACTCATCCCCCCATGTCCTGATCCCCCCATCGCCATCCGGACTACATACTTTCAACGACTGGCGTGCGTACCCGGCCAGGGCGGGCTGGTGCTCTCCAAGCACCCGGGAAGAAGAGCACTGCGGGCCGAGCAGACGGGCGGCCCTCCTCTCGCCATCGCTCGGACGTCCATTCTCAAGGGGCCCCAGGACACACAAATAAATACACACAAATAAAAGGATTCCCCATATTTTCCCATATTTTCTGGGTTTTTGTCTTCCCCCCCACTTCCCATATTTTCCCATATTTTCCTGGGGATGGTCGATTAATTGTGTCTGTGTGTTTCTTTCCCTCCTGATTAAAACAGGGCTAGGATCGGGATAAATAGCTCCAGAGCGTTCCGCAGCGCTCTCAGAGCGTTCCGGAACGCTCTGGAGCGGCCGCGGCGCCCAGTACATCCTCCAAACCCGCAGATTCTCAGAGATTTCGAGTCATCCCGATCCGATTTTGTCCCGATCTTCGCGTCGTTTTACTCTTTCTGCCCGATGATCCCAGATGCTCCTCGACGGCTCTCGCCGAGGAAGAACTACCATGTCCGAGCGATGCCGAGAGACGACATACTTTCAACGACTGGCGTGTATACCCGGCCAGGGCGGGTTGATGCTCTCCAAGCACCCGGGGAAGAACACTGCGGGCCGAGCGCACGGGCGGTCCCCCTCCGCGGGCCACCCCCGCGGGATCGGGCGGCGCGGCGCCCGCGCCACGGCGCGATCCCGAGCGCCCTCCGAAAGAATATTGCGACCGCGGCCGCGACCGCGGCCCGAAGACTGGCGTGGGAAAGGAGGCTCGAAGTTAGAGGCCTCCTTGGATGGGGTCGGAGTAGATGGGGTCGGAGGATCGCGCCGCATCGCCGATGCATCGCCGATGCACCGGCGATGCACCGGCGATGCATCGTCGACGTCGGCGATGCCTCGGCGACGTCGACGTGCAGCAAATCGGCCCCCACATCGAGCCACATCGGCGATGCATCGGCGATGCGGCGCGATCCTCCGACCCCATCTACTCCGACCCCATCTGGGAGCCCATCTCGCCCGAGCTGCGGCCCGCCCACGTGGGCGGGGGCTCGCCGGCGCTCGGCTCAGGGCCCCGCCAGGAGCCCCGCGAGCTGGCCGCGGGCCTTGGCCAGATCGCTCCTGAGCTGCTCGGCCGAGAGGTCGCGGCGCGGCAGCCTGTCCCGGACGTGGCCGAGGACGGTGAGCGACTCGGCCGGGAGGAACGGGAGGCCCTCCGTGCTCGCCCCGGGATGCTCGTCCGGACTCACTGGAGGGTGCGCCAACAGCATCAGCTCACACATGCGGTGGTTGTCCTCGTGGCGCGAACCGCACACGGGGTGCACGTCACCGAGCATGCCATAGAACACGCCGTCGGGCACACCCTCGGAGGCCTCGCACCGGATGGTGGAGAACCCCAGGTTGTGCATGAGCGGCGTGCCTTCGCTGTTCAGCTTCACCACGCGCACTCGCTGCGCTTTTTTTGCCGCGCTCTTCGGCACCCCGGAGAGCAAGTAGGTCTTGACGAGGCCCACGACGAGCAGGGCGAGCAGGAAGACGGAGAGCTCGAACGTCTTTTCCCCGAAGCCGGGGAGGGACACCTGCGATACGTAGATCACGACCACGGCGATGGCCTCGCCGATGTTCTTCTGAACTGAGTCCAGCGCCTGAAGCAGATACATCGTGCTGACAGTCTTGACTACGAAGGAGGCTGTCACCACCCAAGTCGCGGGCGTCCAGTGGGCGAAGAAGCCGCTGGACGCCACCTTCGGATCCACCATGCAGGTCAGCAGAGAGGCGAGCATCCACGTGGTGGACAGGCAGGAGATCTTTGCTGGCAGCGACATGTTCTTGTACTGCTTCAGGTACTTCTCCGAAAGCACCGCACAGTAGCATGAGGCCGCCACCTTGAGCAGCGTGCACAGGACACCGCCAATGGGCACCGAGCTGGCGATGTCGCCGCCATCGGCGCTGCCCATGTCCACCAGCACGAAGGCGCTGGTGGAGACGAACAGCGCGATCAGCACGTGCCACTGCAGGGCAGTCTGCCTAGTCCCCTTGAGCCACCACACCAGCAGGGCGGTGATCATCAGCTTCGTCTGCAGCAGCGTCTGGTACACCCCCCCGCTGAGCGAGGACATGGAGAGCATCTCCAGGGTGTCTCCGAGCGCGTACACGGCTCCGATCATCCCGAAGACGGCCAGGCACTTCGGCCGCCAGCACTCCCTGACGCCGGCAAGGCCGCCGCCCCAGAGCGCCACCAGGTTCATCGCGACGATCGTCAGGAGCTTGTTCAGGAAGATGGGAGAATTCTTGGCGTAGAGGATCCTGCCGCCCTCCTTCGAGGCGTCGATGAGCAGGGGATGGAGAGCGCGCGTGGCCACGAAGAAGGCGAAGAGGCCCAGCCTCATCATCGACGCCCGGCGGGGCGAGGCGTCCTGCGTGCGGCGCGACGGGAAGAAGGCCGAGAGGGCCCTGCAGGCGGGGAGCGGGCCCGAGGCCGGCTCGTGCAGGGGCTCGGCCTTTCGCCGCAGGCCCGCCGCGGCGCTGCCCGCCGCACTCATCCCTCCCGAGCTGCGACCTGGCGCCTGTGAGGGGCCGTGCGCGGCGGGGCGGAGTGGCCGAGCACAACAAGTTCGTGATGGGCTTGTTTTCCACCACCACCACCACCATAAGTTGGAGGGGGAGGGGGTCCTCCTCCTCTCCTCCTCCTCCTCCTCCTCCTCCTCCTCCTCCTCCTCGTCCTCCTCCTGCTCCTCGTCCTCCACCTCCTTCCCCCCTCCAAGTTATGGTGGTGGTGGTGGAAAACAAAAGCCCATCAGTTCGGGTGCTGCTGGGAGTGCCCCTGGCCCAAGGTGCCCCCAAAATCTCCATGGAGGCCCCCACGGCCTCCAGAGCACCCGTCACGAGGCCCAGAGGGCCCCAGGGGGGCACGGGCACAACCCCCTCTCGTGCAGTGCGGGCGCGGCCGCAAGAAACCGCGGCAGGACCCCCTCTCGTACAGTGCGGGGGCCACTCGAGCGTCCCGCCGCCGGTCGGGGACGGACAGAACCCCCTCTCGCAGAGTGCGGGCGCGGCCGCAAGAAGCCCTCGCAAGAAGCCCAGCCCTGAAGACCCGCACGAGACGTGCGGCTGGGGGGCAGTCCGTGGTGCCCCGAACGCAGCGGCTCCTGCAACGGCCGCGGGAAATCACCGCGCAGCGTGCGGAGCGAAGGAACCCAGGGCACCCTGGCGAAAAGCATGCGGTTTCTTGGTGCGGGCCCCCACTGTAGAACCGAAGACAGAGACAACCTCTCAGAAGGCACGAGGGCTTCTGAGAAGGAAGCCCCGCCGCCTTCTGAGAGGGCCTTCTCGTTCTCACGCCCCCCCCCCCTCGCTCGCCGCCGAAAGAGAACCAGGAGGAGACCAAAACGTACGACAACGCTTTGGCCGCGCGACCTCGGGCCCAAACCTGGCGGGCGCAAGCCCGAAAAGTGACGGCCGCGGCGCCCTCTCGAGGACCGAAAACGGGCGATTCACAAGTCGACGTGTCAGGGTGGGGGTTCTGTGGTTCTGTCCACCCCCGATCAAAAAGGGGGGCGCGAGCGCGGACCAGACCGGGCCGAAATGGCTACGACGTGGACCCGCTCGGGCTGTCTCTCTCTCTCTCTCTCTAGACACGCGTTCCACTGCTCGCAGATGAGCTGCTCGCAAATGGTCCGGATCCGCCGCGCGGGAGCACCATCCGTTCCAGAGAGGAAGACGTGTGTCTGTCTGACGCTTGCAAGCAGGGCACTTTGCGAGTGGTGGAACGCGCCTGGCTGCTGATACTGAGCACTGCCACTGCTGGCTTCGTCGCAGCGGGGCTCAAACAGTAGTGGGCAATGGCACGTGACAACCCCCCATGCGGACCAACATCTGTTGATGACAACGTCGTACTGACTACAGCGCACGCAGCTATCACTGCAACGAGTTCCTTGCTAACGAGATGCTGTGGGACCAGGCCGCGCAGCGACCCGTACCCGGCACGGTCCTCCGTCCCGCCAGACCTGCCCCCCCTCTCCCTCTCCTCGTCCCTCCCGCTCCCCTCCTCCTCGTGTCCGTTGTTTCTGCCTTTTCCGTTTCTCTCTCTCTCTCTCTCTCTCTTTCTCCATATATATATATGTACATATATATATATATATACGTATATATATATATGTGTATGTGTATCTATCCCTCTCTCTATCTGTCTCTCTCTCCCTCCCTCTCCCCCCTCCCTTCCCACGCCGGGCCTCCCGCACCTCCCGAGCCTTCCGCGCGCTGCCCCCCCCGGCCCCTTCCACCCCCCCCAAAAACCCACCAAGACAGCAGCACCCTTCCACGGCCGAGCCCCCTGAGCCCCCCCCCCCTAGGGAGGGGGGGGAGGAGGGGGAGGAGGAGGAGGAGGAGGAGGAGGAGGAGGAGGAGGAGGAGGAGGAGGAGGAGGAGGCGGAGGAGGAGCCTTGAGCACGTTGAAGCGGACCGTCTTGCACAGAGGCCGGCACCTGCGGGGGGGGAGGGGAAGGGGCAGGAGGAGCAGGAGAGAGAGAGAGAGAGAGAGAGAGCGAGGGGGGGAGAGGCGAGGGGGCGGCGAGAGGAGGACGGGGGACGACGGGGGGGAGCGGGAGGATGAGGAGCGGGGCGGAACGGGGGCTGCGGGGGAAAGAGAGAGAGTGAGGATGGAGTGCTGGATGAGATGGGGGGATGGGGGAGGGGCAGGATGAGACGGGGAGGAGGGGAAAGAGGGGGGCAGGGAGAAGAGGGATGGCGGGGAGAGGGATATATATATATATATATATATATATATGGACGAGGTGAGCGAGGAGCAAGAAGAGGAAGGGGGACGAGGGGAGATGAGCAGGAAAGGGACGTGACGCAACGATGCGAGGACAAGGATGCGGAGGAGGGGGATACATATACATAGAGGAAATCAGCTCTGGATAAAGAGGGCATGACATGTATACATACACACATAAATATGTATAGATGTATACACATGTGTGCGCTCATCTGAGGCACAAGCTGGAGTGTCTTCAGGTCTCTGGATCCCTAAATGTTGAGCCCTCCGACCCAAGACAACCTCCGAGACCGCCAGCAGGCCCAACAGGAGACCCCAGAAGCTCCAGGAGGCCCCCAAGAGGCCACAATTGGGCCCCAAGAGGCCCCCGCGAGACGGCCAACGCACTACCCGAACGCCTCGAAATGGCCTTCGAGAGACCGCTCCCGAGATCCCCGCAGGCATCCAAGAGGCCTCCGACCTGCAACCAAGGCACTATTGCGGAACGGGTAGACGGCCACGACACATACATATGTGAACGCACATGTAAATTCATATATACATATATATACACATATATGTCTATGTATATGCATATGTTCATACATATGCACATGCATACAAATATGTGTGGACACATCTAGATATACATAGAGGCGTACAGTCATATACACGTGTATACATCTTCCCATGTATACATATACATGCATACATCCATATGCACATATGGCATATATATACACATATATACACATTTGTATACATATATATATATATATGTGTATATATATATGCATATGCAGATGCATCTAGTTCTAGATAGAGGTACTAGAACCACGCGCGCGCTGCGCGCGCTCAGGTTCTAGCAAGTCATGGCTGTAATCTGCAGCATCGGCCCCCCGTCGGCGAGCATTGGGCGACCGGGGGGTCGATGCATCCCCTCCTGAGCCGATCCCCCCCCCCCCAACGCGGCCCAGGACCCTCGCAGCCCCCATCACCTCTCGCCTCTTCCCGCCCCCTCCCTCCCTCCCCCCTCCCCTCCCTCCTCCCCGCCTCTCCTCCCTCCCTCCCTCCCCTCCCTCTCATCCCTCCCCTCCCCTCCCCTCCCTCCCCTCTCTCCCCTCCCTCCCCGCCTCTCTTTCTCCGCCTCTCCCGCCTCTCTCCCGCTCCTCCCCAACATAAGAGGCCGGCCGTGGGGGGCCCGCCCTAGCACAGGAACATGCCGTAGACCGGCCTACCCTGCCTCCGACCCTGGCCTACGCCGAACGCCACGGCCGCCTTGTCTGTGGACGTATTCACCCCGGATGTGTCTATCCGCCACCGGGCCTGCACGGGGTGGGCGCGTTAGAGTGCTCCTGGGAGTGTTTTCGAATGGCTTCTAGAACCGACCCCCCCCCCCCGCATCGCGCGGTGTGTAACCAAAATCACCCCTTGAGTTGATCCCCGGCGCTCTATTCGGCCTCCAGACAGCCAAGACGGCCTTCAAGACGGCTTCCAAGACAACCATGACGACAACCAAACTGCTCAAGATGGCCCATGACGGCTCAAGAGGCTCTCAAGACGGCCTCCAAGAGGCCCCCGAGACGGCCCCAGAAGCGTCAAGAGGCCTTCCTGGAGAGCCCAAGGGGGGCAAAACCATTGATCTGCATTAAGTTTTGTTCGAAGGATTTTGAGGTTTCCGCCTGTTCGGGTTTCTGGCCGCCCAAGACGGCTCAAGAGGCATCCACGAGGCCTCCAAGATGACTCCAAGGCAGCCCCAGATACCCCCAAGAGGGCTCCAAGTCGGACCAAGAGGATCCAAAGATCGCCCAAAGAGCTCCCAAGACGGTCTTGAAGCGCTCCAGGAGAGCAGCAAGACGGCCAAGAGAGGCCTATTGGTCTGTCTAGGGCGGTCGGAAACCCAAACATACCTGAAACTCAACATCCTTCAACGACCTAAGAAAAATCATGTGTGTGGGCCTCCTCGGGCTCTCCTGGAGAGCCTCTTGCAAACCTCTTGGGCCGCCTTGGGGGCTGATTGATCTGTCTTGATGCCTTCTTCGGAGCCTCATGACCTCCAGGGCGGCTTTCTTTCAAGGCAGCAAAGATGACACCAAGATGGCCCAAGACGGCTCAAAGGGCTCCCAAGACAGCCTCAAGACAGATCAAGAAGCCCCCGAGAGGGCCCAAGAGGACTCCAAGAGGCCCTTCTGGAGAGCCCGAGGGGGCCCATGCCATTGATTTCCCTTCGGAGTGTGAAGGATTTGAGGTGCTCGCCTGCTCGGGCTTTCGACCGCCAAAGGCGGCCCAAGAAGCTAGGCATCCAAGATAGCTCCAAGGCAGTCAAAGAAATTCCAAAGAGGGCCTCAAAATCGAGCCCAAAGGGTCCAAATGTCGCCCAAGGGGCTCCCAAGAAGGCCCTCAAACGGCCGGGAAACGCTCCAAGAGGGCACCAGCACAGTCCAAAGAGGCCCCAAGGTGGCCTCCATTTCAGAAGGCTCCCAGAAGACCACGAGAAGGCCCCAAGGACTTTCCTCCTCATCCTGATGTTTTCCCTCTCCTCCTCCTGCTCCTCCTCCTCCTCCTCTTCCTCCTCCTCCCCCTCCTCCTCCCCTCCCCCTCCTCCTCCCCCTCTCCCTCCTCCTGCTCCTCCTCCTCCTCCTCCTGCTCCTCCTCCTCCTCCTCCTGCTGTTCCTCCTCCTCCTCCTGCTCCTGCTCCTGCTTCTGCTCCTGCTCATCCTCCTCCTCCTCTTGCTCCTCCCTCCTCCTCCTCCTCCTCCTCCTCCTCCTCCTCCTCCTCCTCCTCTTCCTCCTCCTGCTCCTCCTGCTCCTCCCTCCTGCTCCTCCTCCTGCTCCTCCTCCTCCTGCTCCTGCTCCTCCTCTGCCTCCACTTCCTCCTCCTCCTCCTCCTCCTCCTCCTCCTCCTCCTCCTCCTCCTCCTCCTCCTCCTCCTCCCCCCTACCGCGCGGACGAAGACGAGGTCGGGATCGCGGCCCGTCCCAATGCAGACTACTCGTCGGAATGATGCTGTTCATACACTCAGCCTCCTTCGCGTTACGCCGTTGCACAGGCACTGTCGAGGGGTCTGCCGCAGGCAGCTGGACGCATGCGCTACGACACCCAGCGTGCCTAGAGACGCCTGCAGCTAAGGAACGTGAGGGCGGCATTTGATACAGGCCCCCGGGTATGAATATCGTTTAAACGATCCCCGTCCCCAGCGGCGTGGCCTGGGCCCCACTGGCCGATTTACCCCCCTAGATGGGGAAATAAGTCGTTCCCTTCGGGTTTCGAGGGGTGTATCCCCAACTGGGGTGGTAATTTGGATGGGGATGGGGATGGGGATCGGTTAAAAGATACCGAAGATATAGGGAACCGACCTCTATACACCGACGCCTTTGTCTGGCCTCACATTGAATCTCGCACAGGAAAACGGATCCTGGTGTACACGGGATCCTGGTGTATACATTCTTCGTCGTCTCCCCAGGAAAACGGGGAAAAAGTACACACCACACCACCCCGACGTCGTCCTCGACCCTAACAAGAATCCTGGGATTGAGAAGCCGCCCGCCACTGCCACCCTTTAGTGAAAACGGCCTGGGACCGAAACCGACGGACCTGGACCCGCAAAAATGACGGCCGCGACGCCCTCCCGCGAACCGAAAACGGCCAATTTGCGGATCGACGTGTCAGGGTAGGAGGTCTATCCACCCCTGAGAGAAGCAGGCCGACGCCTCCCTCCAACCTGAGCCTCCCGCTCCGTCCGACTCCTGCAGGACCCTGCGCCCCTGCCCGGGTCAGTGCAGCCCCGGCTCTGCAGGATCCCGCGCTTTGGCTGATCCCCGTTTGCGTTCGGTCGGGCGTGTCCCCCTGCAGGGGGATCTTTGGGGCGAAAATGAAAGATGCCCCCCACACATATACACCACAAGTGCCCTAAAATACTCAAAACATAGTCCCCCGACGATGTCCTGCACTATTCTTGAATCTTCCCCTCTGTAGAGGGACCAGGCCCGACCTCACGTTCGCCTTGCCCCCCCTCCTGGAGGCACCCGATCCTCCTCCCCGGCGAGCGGCCCCAGCGGAGGCAGAGCACTGGCCCACGGTCAGGATGTCGCCCTCCTTCACGTCGAAGGCCGGGGAGCAGTGCGCGGCCAGGTTGGTGTGGCGCTTCTCGAAACGGTTGAACCTTGGGGACCAGTGCAGACGAGCGCGTTCCACTACTCGCAAAAAGTAGTTGCAGATGGCCTGGATACGCCGCGGGGGGGATCTACGATAAACTGCATCGAAGCCGACATCTGTTCTTCGGACGTTTGCGAGTGGGCACTCTGCGAGTAGTGGCACGCGCTCGGTGACAGCTGCTCCCAAGAGAAAACATGCTCGATGTTTCGCGACAGCCGCCGTGACTGGCCCCGGCCGCCCCTCCCCGGTAACGTCACAGTCCGTGCTGACCTCCCAGCTGGCCCTGGCTATTCTCAAGAATTCCTGGAAGGGGCCGGCGCGACACGTGACATTACATTACCGGCCTCCCCCCCCCCAGCGTCGGGCACACACTAACCTTGGGTCGGGCGTGTCCCCCGCACAGGCGGATTTTGGGCGAAAATCAAAGAATTGTCCAAACATGCACAAAAAGACCAAAACAAAAAACTAGAAAATCGTCCCCAGTCCATTCTTGGACTATTTTTGAATACTCCTCCTGTAAAGGGACATGCCCGACTCAACACTAACTCGGGGATCTTCTGACCCGGGTCATCCCAGACCCGGGTCAGCAGGAAACCAAAAGTCTGCAATGCAAGAACAAACTGCCACGCAGGTCTTCGCAAACCCGGGCCAGCCAATATGCGCGGCAGCCTCGCGGCCACGAGCGGCTCGTTGACCCGGGCCAGCCAGAAGGGGTCTTCGCAGAATCCTGCAGGATCTGGTGCTTTGTGGGCCCCGGAAACGGCAGGGCCGTTTTTTCAACGTTTCCAAAACAAATTCCATTGAAAATGGAAACGGCAAAAAAACGGCGACCGGAAACGGCAAAAAACGGCTCCAGGATCGGAACTGGAGCCGGAACCGCTCAAAAAACGGCGACGGAACCGGTAGAAAAACGGCGTCGGAACCGGCAAAAAAACAGCAAAACGGAACCGGTAAAAAAACGGCCCTGTCGTTTCCAGGGCCCACTAAGATCTGGTGCCCTGGCCGACCCCCGTTTGCACTGACCTCCGTCCGTTACGCCCCGCCGAACCCACTTCAGCACAAGCCCGGGACGGCCAGGGCCCATGCCGCGAAGAAACCTGGCCGGCCGCTCGGCAGCCCCCACGGCCGAGCCAGCGGAGGGCGGACACGGGGAAGTGCAGAAGGGAGGGAGGAGGGAGGGAGGCGAGGGAGGAGGAGGAGGAGCAGGAAGAGGAGGAGAAGGACGAGCAGAGGATGAGGAGAGGAGGAGGAGGAGGAGGAGGAGGAGGAGGGAGGAGGAGGAGGAGGAGGATCGAGGAGGTGGAGGAGGAGGAGCAGCAGGAGCAGGAGGAGGAGGAGGAGAAGGGAGGCAGGGAGGGGCGCGAAGGAGGAGAAGGAGGCGGAGCAGGAGGGAAGGAAACGAAGGAAGAGGACAACGTTTTCCAGAGATGGATCGGCGATCCTTGGGGGACCTCGGAAAGCCTCCGGGGACCACAATAAGCCTCAGGGGAGCTCCGGGGACCTCGGGGGAAGGTGGGAAGGGGGGGGGGGATGCGATGAACACTGAAGACTTCGGACGGCTGAGGGAAAACAGGCCAGCATGGAAATGCCAGGAAGCAGCCCGATGCCCACAAGTTCGAGGGGCGGAGTCCCAGGACACTCCCACGCCAGCCTGTCTTGTCTCGTGCGTGGCGCAGGTGCAAGGCCAAGGCGGGCTCCAGCACGCTGGCCGGCCCGTGCTTTTGAAGACGGGTTCAAGGGGACGGGGAGGGGAGAAGAGAGGAGGGAGGGAGACGGGGGAGGGAAGGCAGACAAGCGGGGCGCGCTCGCGCCAGCTCTGACGTCCTGCTCCCGCCCATCCCTTCCCAATGCGCCGGTTGTTCTCTATCCGACGACGGGTGTCATAGCAAACCTGGAGCCCTCAATGTGACCTCATTCCGTTATGCGCATATAGGACGGGAATCTGTGTACATTGGACGAGGTGCAGGTGGCGCAGGGGCGGGAGGATGAGGAGGAGGCTGAGGACGGTGGGGGGGAGGAGGAGGAGAGGAGGAGGAGGAGGAGGAGGAGGAGGAGGAGGAGGAGGAGGAGGAGGAGGAGGAGGAGGAGGAGGAGGAGGGGAGGAGGAGGAGGAGGAGGAGGAGGAGGAGGAGAGGAGGAGGAGGAGGAGGAGGAGGAGGAGAGGAGGAGGAGGAGGAGGAGGAGGAGGAGTGAGGGATAAGGAGGAGGAAGAAAAGGAGGAGGAGAAGGAGGAGGAGGAGGAGAAGGAGGAGGAGGAGGAGGAGGACGACTGTTATCGACTGTCGGCGGTTGCGTTCTGGGGCCTTCCGCGGCAGGGGCCCAAACGGATGACACCCCTGCTCGCCGACCATGACTGGCCCAGCTTAAAGGAGTGTGGCGACGGTGGGGCTTGCGCACAAAACCATCCTGTAGCTGATACCGTTGGCTCCAGTGTCGCGACGAGTGCTGCCACTGCCCGCCCAACTCGATCGACAGGCCGCTCTAGACTCACCGACCCAATCCATGTACAGACACCCGGGCCGTCCCCCAGCCAGGCTATACACGGTTGTGGTTGACAGCGGTTCCGCCTGCTGCTACTGCCTTCTCGCACGAGCTGGCCCCTGCACGGTAGCTGAGATGTGCCTCGCACGCTCCCCAAACATTTGAACACTGACAGGGCTGCTGCTACTGCCCCACTTGCTGCCACTGCCTGCTCTCCGATGCGCGCCCGTGCTTTGTCACCCGCAGTCGCGAACCTCCTGCGCACGATCTGGTCCCAACGCGGGATTTGCGCTGTAGCTGATGGCGTTGGGCTCGCGTTCTTCCTCCACTCTTGCTGCCACTGCCCGCCCTTCTCGCACGCCTTGGCCTTCTCGCGCGGCCTGTCCCCAGCATTGTAGCTGATGAGATCGACAGTGCTGCTATTCACGACATTAGGTTCCAACTTCGCCTCCCGCGTCTCGCAAAATCGTGCAGGAACGGCCTGCCGTTCACTCATCCCGCACGCTCTGACCCCAGCACTGTAAGCAAGGACGTCGGGCTCTAGCTTCGCCTTTTGTCTCCCGTTGGGTCGCGACAGAGCGTGTCACCGCTGCTCACCTTGCGCGCGCGCGTTCTACGAAGCGCTGTTGATGACAAGATCGGGCTCCAGCTGCGACTTCTCCTTCTCGCAGAGTGGTTCCATAGTCGCCTGGCTGCTCGCCATTCTCGCACGCCCTGATCCTAGCGCTATACCTGATGATATCGAATTCCAACTTCGAATTCCACATCTCGCCTTTGTGCGCCGGTGAAGCTGGCCTCCGTCTGTTGAGCCGATCCCAGCGCAGTAGCCGATGGCCCTTGTATGTCTTGGCCTCTGCCGCCTGCAGCTGCCGCGCCAGTTTCCCTCGCACTTTGAAACCAGCTGTGTAGCTGATGACGTCGACGCTGCGGTGCTCCTCCCCCGAAGCCAGGTCCCTCTGGGGGTGTGATGGTCTTTGGGGTTCGCGGTCCGGCCTGTCACGTCCAGCACTTGGTCCCAGCTGTGTAGCCGATGACGTTGGGTCCTGGCGCGGGACCCACAGCGTGAACTCCCATGCTTCCCCCACGAAAAACGTGAAGGTGCCACACGTGAACCCTATGGAGCCTTCTTGATGGTGCGAGGAAAGTGGCGGGGAAATGGGGGGCGGGAGCGGGACGAGAGGGGAGAAGACCATCACGTAGCTCTAGATGGCTCGCGAAAGCAATGCCGCTCCTAAGTCTGCCGCCCACAACTCGGGACCCCCCTGCCCGAGAGGAGTGGCTGAGGAGGAGGAGGAGGACGAGGAGGAGGAGGAGGAGGAGGAGGAATCTTAACACGCGTGCTTTGGCGGCGCAGGCGTGCCAGCGGTCTCGGCACCCTGGGCGGGCGCGCGCCGCACGCGCCCACGGGAGGGTGGGCCCGCGGCCTCGGTGCGCACCCTTCTCCCTGCCTCGCCCGTCGCTGCCGACTGCCGCGAAGTCGCAGCTCCCATCGGGCGGCGGCAGCGTCACTGTTGCTGCATCCGCCTCAGCAGGAACAGGAGGAGCCGAGGCTAGAGGACCAGGGGGATGCGGGAGAGGGGAACGGGGGGCGACAACGACGAGGAAAGACACCGACCCAGCGATGAGGCCCACACTGTGGCGAGAGCGTCGTTCTGAGCGGCGGGGGCAGCACGCCGATCCCGAAATGAGGCCAACGCTGCCGCGGGAACAACACACACACAAACAAACAATAACAAGACTGGTGAACAAAAACTATATGCATGACCACCTTTTTGAAACCCTGCGCGTTCAGAAAACATGCGGGAGACAAGCTGCCACGCTCGGGCTGGTCCGGGGAGAAAGGAGAGTAGTATGCCCTCAAACTGTGCTTGCAATTCGGGATTCGTACTTGCATCGAAGAAAACGCGGACGGGTCCAGCGAGAGATCGCCACGTTGCCGCCCGTTGCCGCCTCATCGCCGCCCCGTCGCCGCCTCGTGGGCCTTTGTGGGTCTGGCGAGGTTTCGCCACGTTGCCGCCTGTTGCCTCCTCGTCGCCGCCTCGCGCGCTGGGTGAATTGGCGAGACTTCGCCACGTTGCCGCCCGTTGCCGCCTCGTGCGCTGGGTGGGTCCCGCGAGGTTTCGCCACGATGCCGCCCGTTGCCGCCTGGTTGCTACCTCTTGCGCTGGACGGGTCCGGGGAGGCTTCGCCACGTTGCTGCCCGTTGCTGCCTCGTTGCCGCCTCGTGCTGAGTGGGTCCGGCGAGGTTTCGCCGCGTTGCCACCCGTTGCCGCCTCGTTATCATTCTCGTGACCTGGGTGGATCTGGCGAGGCTTGAGAACGTTGCCGCCCGCTGCAGCTTCGTTACCGCCTCGTGCGCTGGGTGGGTCCGCTGAAATTTCGCCACGCTGCCGCCCGTTGCCGTCTCGTTGCCGCCTCGTGTGTTGGGTGAGTTGGCGAGGTTTCGCCGCGTTGCCGCCCGTTACCGCCCGTTGCCGCCTCATTGCAGCCTCGTGCGCTGGGTGGGTCCGGCGATGTTTCGCCGCC